CTCCCTACTTTTCATCCTTCTGCGATAGCACCGAGCCAGCCATGGACTAAAGATCTCAAAATTAGTACAAATACAGCCTCAGCCTCATAATTCACAAGGGACAAGGGACCCTGAGTGGCAGATATATGCTTTGCAGGGTATCCTCATCTAACTGACAAGGAAATTGAAGCTCAGAGAGGTTAAGTGATTTGCCCAAGGTCACACAGCTAGTAAGTGCTGGAGCCAGTCTGTCTGACTCCTGCCAAGTCAACAAGACCCTGGGGAATGTAAAGCTTTCACAGAAACAGTGACTCTGGCCTTTCTTAAAGCCTAAAGCACCCAGAGTTGCATTTTAACTAAATCAAACACTGTTGCTCTGAATCAACTTTGGCAGGTCCCTTGCCCCCACCCCCAAAGCAAAGAGAATAGATGTTCTGGGTTCGGAGACCGAAGGAGACAAAAAGCTTCAGAAGCTGCCCTCATAGTAAGGTCCAGTTCTTACATGGGGGAAGATCATCCCTGGAATCAACCCAGACTCCTTCACAAGAGTGGTGCGAGCAAATAGGACAGAAGCGTAGCTAGCTGCTCACAGGTACTGGTGCACTGTCATGATTTTTGCCTACTGTTTCATTGGGTGGGAGTGCAGTTCAATTTGTCTATGTAATAGGGGCTCATTTTACAAGAAAAGGGACAAATAATTCCCCCACAACTTCACAAGCCATAGAAAAAAGGGACATAGCAGAGAGCTGAAGCTTTGGGGACTTGGAAGGAAGATAAGAAAAGGTCATGGCCACAGCTGTGCTTGCACTTTCTCAATTAAGCAACAGGCAGAAGTTAATTGCCTGTAGGTAATCAGGATCCCATCGAGTTATTTTAGATGTTTTCTAAATGTGGAGAAAAACCAAGGCTCTCCGTTCGTATTGACAATTAATTTATATGTGCCAAGTCTTTCAGAGTATGACGAAGCTGGGTATGGAGCTTTCTAGAAGTAATGGATTTAAGCATTGGTTTATCAGAGAGGATCCAAAATGAAATGAAGCTATGTTTTCCAATACGCTAGCCTTTTCTGCAGAGCTGTACAGGTTCGACAGACACTTTGTATGAACACTGTACATAGGCCCCACTTTTATCTCTGCTTCTGAATCCAGCACTCTTGGCATTTGAATGAAAATTAGTACATCTGTGGTGTTTGAATTGTGGGGCTCTAGATGTATTATCAGCCAAAATAATTGCCACTACAGTGCAGTCTTCCTGAGTTAGCTCGGGTTTAATGGTACAACTGGCAGGAAAGCATAGGAGGCCTGTCTGCAGTGTGCTCAGGTTAAGAAGCATCAGATGGTGGGCAGTGTGGCTTTTCAGTATGTAGAAGGACCTCGTTAGCCCTAAATTCTGCCTACTTGGTGCAGCACAGATATTCACATCAGGAATGTGACAGATTGGACAAGGAAGATTATGCCCCATTTTATGAAATCAATGATGTCTCCGTAAATATGGTCATCAAGAAGATTTTGCTACTTAGTGTCCCTCCCATTCCTGGGTGCCTTTTATAAGTACCTTAAAAATGTGTTCTGACAAACATTTCAGCCCCAGGATGCTGCAGTCTCCAAAGTTTTACAAAGAAGAGCATTATTGAAGAGGAAAACTGTCAAATTACTTGATGATGTCTTAAGAAGAAAAATATCTAGGTAAACCATTTCAAGAAACTGTGGAAAAATTATTTCCAATAAAAAAAAAAGTAACAAAGAACTAAGTTCATGGATGTTTTACCATCAGGCAGAATTAACTAAAAGATGCCACGTTAATATGAATTCTAATTAGTCTTTTAGTCACCCCTGAGTTGTTACTTCAACAAAAAAGCAGAACTTCCTTCATGCTCACCATGAAACATTATGTCTCTCGAATGATAAGGATGGCTAGTTGGCCCTTGTGGGGAGGCTCATTAGCTCAGTTCTACTAATGACTGTTCAGAGCTTTTCACAGAACACAATCTCATTTTCAGCTATCTGTGGCCATGTCTTTTAGGACAAAGTTTCGTGGGGGTTGGGTGGGGTTCCAATTCACTCTGTTGTATACGTACTAATTAACCAGGCATTCCCACTTTTCTTGTCAGAGGGAGAAAAAGCAGAGTCCACTATCATTTTGTAATTACAGGTTGAGAAAAGTAGAGGAGAATGTCCAAGCCTTTAGATTCACTATCTGGAAATTACAATCAACACAGTGCATGGCAGCCCAGAGGGGGCAGTGAGATGTGTGGTCTGCAAAAGTCCAGTGGCTGGAAAATTTTCCTGGGATATAGGCAGAGCTTGCCCCTTAGTGCATCTATCTGAAGGCTAGCCTTGCCTCTCTGTTTGCGTCTTTCAATTGCCTCTGTTTAGTGGTCCCAAGCAGGCAAAGTCATTTTCAATGCATGTATCTCATTAACTTGTAGAAATCCCCTGAAATTTGCTTCTACTTGTTCAAGCTACCATCCTGAGGCTGCATTAAAAAAAAAATCAACAGTTTCTTTTAAAACGATGGTTGGGTTATTAGTTTAAGTTTTTCTAAGAGGGAGTAGGGTTTGCAAAGAAAAGGACTGTGGCCACTTTTAGTTCTTAGATACCCAGGTTTGGTTACTCATGTTTGTTCAACAGTTGATGATATAGATCCTGTATTTAGACATTATCTCTACTGTGCATAAATTACATCAACATTATCTACCTCCAACTTGGTAATGTGTGTCTTCCATGAATAGATTTCATATATATGAGTGCTAAACTTACTGTAACCTCCTCTGAAGTGATAGCAGCTGTAATTCAGAAACTGCAATCTCTTTGCCTGGCAGCTAGTCAAAGCTTGCAAACTGTTTTCCTTGCCTTAAAAAGGCCCCCCCCCCTTTAACTTCTACCATTGAAAAACTGCAAAACTTCATATAATAAACCAGGGCTTGCAATTATGAATAAAACTTCTATAAACATTTGTGCAGATTTTTACAATGATTTAAGTTGTCAGTGTACTTGGTATATTCCAAGGATTAAAATTGCTGGATCATATGTTGATTTTACAAGAAACTGACAAACTGTTTTCCAAATTGTCTATAACATTTAAGATTACAAACAACAATGGATGAAAGTTCTTATTACTGCACATCCTTAGTACTATTTGATGTTATTGATATTTCAGATTTTAGCCATTCCAGTCCATATGTAGTATATGTATATGTAAATTTTAAAGTTACTTTCTTTATGCTTGCAAAATAAGATTATACTGTGCATCGTACCAGAATCCATTTGATTTATAAATTATAGTAATATATACATACATATATATGTACATATATATGTGATATATAACTTATAGTGACATCCAGAAACTTTACTCCTACATAGACTTGCTAGCTCGAATGCCTCCTTTATAGTGGAGTTTGGCTGGGGTCTCCCAAGTTGGGTTACATATTGATTGTCAAGCTGGAGAGATGGCCCAGAGTTAAGAGTACTTTATGCTCTTCTGGAGGAGCCAAATCCAGTTCCCAGGCTAGGATAGATCCTGGAATAGCAATTGTATTCAAGATGGTGTGTGGAGGGAAAGGATGTGGTCTAGAGACAGATAAAATAGGAATTAGAGAAAAATAATTATTTTTATTTCTTACTTATAGTAATATCATAAAATAGCTGGCAAGTGCCTGAACTAAAATATGAATCCTCTTGGGATATTATATGCCCAGGTTACAATATTAAAAATAAAGTCTTGGTTTAATAGCCCATTTTTTTTTTTTAAAAAAGGGAAGGTACTTTTCAGAAAAAAAAAAGTAGATATTCAGATAACCTGGTAATCTGTTACAGGTCTTTAAACTAAAAATAGGGAAAGGGAAAATATCCAATAGATTGACAATACCACATGTGAATTCCCTCCTGTGGTACAGGGCTCAAGTCTAATTACAAAGTGATTGGTTAACTCTATAACCTTAATGCTACTATTGTACTAGTGGACAAATCTTGCCATGCAAGTCAGTATTATAGTATGCAGAATCTAGTACTGATTAGACTATTGATGTCTTTTTCTGGAAATATGGCTTTTAAACATTATCAATTAATTAAAACATTTAAGATATACTAGTTAGGCTAAATAAAAATACTTCTTTAGCCACATAATAATAAATTCTGATTTAGATGGTAGAGACTTCACAGTGAAGGCAAAAAAAAAAAAAAAAAAAAAGGAGCCTTGATTTGGTGAATTTAATTGTCTGACAATAAGTATAGGTTTGGTTCAAGATTAGTGTGAGTGAATACTTACGCAGTCTTTATGTTGGTTTGTTTTCTATAACATAACCAAGAATGTCTTCAGTGGTGAAAATGATAAGTAGTTTCTGTATCCGGTAGGATCAGTCGGTTGTGCAATAACTGGAAAATCATTGGCCAGACAATGTGCTAAATAAAGAAAGTAATCAGAAGGTCATTGTCTTTTGGAGTCCTTTTTATGCTTGCTCCGTCACTAGTTCGTGAATCCCCTGAAGGCCTTGATAAGGAATTTATATTTGGTTCTAAAAATATTAGGAAGCTATTGGAGGCTGTGAGCAGTGAAGAGACATATTGCAACTTAATATTCCAAGAAGTATCTTCTAAAAGCGCTGATTGGAAGGTTATATCTAGGACTACAACCTTGTCAGTTTAGGAAAATCTGCCTTTACTGAACTTAGCCGTCTCCACTGCTCCTTGTACTTCCTCAGGATTGTCAGTTTTACATTTATACATGCATGCTTTTCTCTCTACCCTCATCACAAATGGAGATGTTCTCCATTGCTTTTGAGCAATATATCCTAAAATACTTGAAGGATATGCTATCACAAGCATTTTATAGTAAGAAAACCAATGCCTTTTCTGGTGGAACTAATTTCCTTGTGTTCTTGCCTGGCCTATAGGCTATTATTCATCAGCTATGTAGCAGAGATAGAGTTTTTCAGATAAGTAATTTTCCCATCTGAGTGAACAAATAAACGCTCTCACAAATTTATCTAACCTATGTATTGTTATGTTTGTGTCTTTCAGAAAATACTGAAGGAAGGACCCCTGCTAAAGAACTGTAACTCCTTCAGGAAATGGAAGCTTAGATACTGCCTGATTCAAGGACAGAAGCTCCACTTTGCACACCATCCTTCGGTAATTATAGAACCCTTTCATCTGCATTAGTGGGTGGGTGCCAAGAAATGTGTGGATGCAGAGCAGGCCATCAATAAAACGGAAATTGAAACGATGTATTCTTCCCTTAAGTAATCCCTTTGGGTCAAATGAGTGATAGTATTTTTCCTTTGCTTTTTCCTGTGTCTTTTCATCTCTTCATTTTTGTGGATTTCCCAGTTAGTTTCTATATCTAGAGCTGCCTACAAAATTAATAGTACAAATGAAAATGCAGAGCCCTTTATTCAAAAGCCAGGAAAAGTGCCATTAATGGTACTAACACAAACTGTTTCACATTTATATTAAAATATAAAGCATTGGCTTATGGTGTTTAATTTGGTATTTAATGTTATTCTTAAAAAATTAAATAATTATTGTGAAGTTTGCCATTTAATTTTCATTTGTACCATTCCAGTTTTAAATATAAATGTAAGATAGCTTTGGTTTTGATTAATTTTGGGGGCTTGCTGCTGGGGTGAGCTACAGATATGAAGGGACTGGGAAGTGATGTGAGCAAGATTGGTGTGCATGATGTGAAATTCCCAAAGAATCTATAAAGAATCATATTTTTAAAATTAAAACTGTCACTGAAAGGAGATAATGATAGTACTGACTCCACAGATGGCTTTGGGGAAGATATTGACTGATGGGGGATGTCATTCTGTACGTTGTTAACATATGTTTTTCTCATTGGTTGATGAATAAAACACTGATTGGCCAGTAGCCAGGCAGGAGGTATAGGTGGTGCTACCAGACAAGGAGAATTCTGGGAAGGAAAGAGGCAGAGAGAAGCTGCCCAAGAGACACCATGTAGCTACTGGGAACATATGATTTGGGGCATTCAAATGATAACATAAGGCCATGTAGAAATACATAGATTAATAGTTATGAGTTAATAATTAAGAGAAAGCTAGCTAGTAAGAAGCCCAATCCATAGGCCAAACAGTATATAATTAATATATGTCTTCGTGTATTTACTTGGAGCTAACCAGCTGTGGGACCAGGTGGAACAGAAACTCGGTCTACAATTGACAGCCTAAGAGTAGTCATTTTTATGACCAATTTATGAGCAGTGTTTTGTGGTTTTCTTGTATACACATTTCAGCTCTGTGGTCAATTCTTCAGTGTTTACTTCTTGTATGTGGGGAGTGTGCATATTCCAGTGAGTGTGGGTGCACAAGTGTATGCAGGCACACATGTGAGCAAGAGCAAATGCATCTGTACTTATATAACTGAAAAAGCAAGCTATCAACCAAGACATGTCTGAGCTATGAACAAAGGATATTTTTGTATATTTATGCATCCATTTCTTTTAGTAAAGTTATGCAATTTTCATTGTAAAAAATAAATATAAATATAAGAGCATATAACTTACATAAAGAACAGCCATCATTATATAATTAGTGTGTTAGTAGCTCATACATGCATGTATATTTTGTTTTCAGCAGTATACAAAACTAGCTCTTTTTCACTTTTTTATATTTTCACATTCTGCCAACAGTCGCTGAGTAAATGGAAAAGGCACAGTAGCTTGCCCTAGCTTTCCTTCAGTGTCACCCTTTTCAGCATTAATGGTTGTATAATACAAGGGCAGAATAGGAATAAGAATGAATAGAATAGGGCTCCCTGGTTGCTTGTTTCTTAAAAAACACTGCCTTTTCTTCGTGTTTGTAGCAAATCCTAACTCCAACACAGTGTGTGGACTGTCAGTATCCATGCCTGCTCAGTCATAGACATAACATATTTTGTACTTGCATTACCACCATGATGGGATTCACTGAAATTCTAAGTTTAGGTATATGATAAATACAATTAGAATGACAAAATTTGGGTGGGCATGTAGGCGATACATGTTTCCTGTGTCCATGTGCACAACCCATAGTCTTATTGGGCTTTATTTACAAAATGCAACACCAAAGATCAAATGATCAGGAATTTAAAGATGGCAATAATAAAGCATTAAACCAAGTCTTAGGTCATTCTGAACATGGAGTCTTATGTGACAACACAGGTTACATAGTGATCAAATAGCCTTGTCTACATTGACAGTGCTGATTTCCTGCTGCTAGCTACCACATCAAATACACCAGGAGATACTAGCACCATACTGAATATGACGAGGAAGATAGTCAAAGGCTGCCACCCAATAAATTAGGACTTAATAATAATTTATACTACAAGTTTCCCAGGTAGTCTATGTTTTATAATCTTATCTAGCACAACATTTAGATTTGGACTAGTCTGCTGGCCAGCCCAAGGCTTACTACAATTCTTCAGAAAAGATTTAGGAAAGTTGTGTTTCTATTTAGTTTGTTTTATATTTGCCACATGATGTATATACAAAAGTCATGTAACTATATAAATCCTAGCCCTCAAGACAAATAAATGGTTGAGTCATAAGTGCCAAAAATGTTTGTCAGTATGTGTGTACCTTTTAATGTCTATTTGTCTAATTAATCAGATGGCTTCTTATCATTCTCCTTCTATATCTTTCCAGTTTGCACACTTTGAAACAATTGATCTTTCTCAAGTCGCTTTGGCTGAAAGTAGCTGCAGAAATCTTTGCCACGGTTTCTGTGTAAGTAAGATGGAGAAGAAGTGAATGGGCGTGTGTGGGGCTAACTAAGAAGTAGGGTTGTTCTACCTAGTTGCTCCATTTGGGTTAACAAGTCTTCTTTGATTGCAAAGTGCTATTATTCATACAAATTTCCATTAGCCTAATGATAGAGAGGACAATGAGTACTAATCATGTTCCCTATTAACGGGCTGCTATAAAGTCAAGCTGACTTCAAGGGACAAGGGGCCTTTGACTATTATAGTGTTCAGTGGATCTTCTTGGTAAAGGTGTTTAGAAGTATCATTGGAAAGGCTTTCAAGAGACTGAGAGTCACAGAAAAAAAATTTGAATAATAAAGTTTCATGGCATAATTTCCTTTGTCAGGATAAGCAATCCTCAGTAAAATCTAGCCCATAGTGAGATTATAGATGAGAAAACTTCTAAGAAAGCAGAGGAAGTTTTCAGGGCTTAGTGTGCCTGGGATAGTATTGTACCACTTTGGTCATGCATGTAAATCGAAAACAGAAGAATCACTAAAAAGTGTCAAGTTCACTATCCCTGAACACTGCTACCCATCTTCTCCAAAAATTGTTTTCCCCAGCCTCATCAGTTGGTTATATTAGGGTTTCTCTTGAGGCTAGGCTACCCCTTATATTGAAAGCACACGGTTACTTCACCTCAGATCAGCTGAAAATTAGATTTGAAATGAAGACGTGACTATAGTCATTATCCTAACACTCTCCTAAGCCTATCTACCACAAAATCAAGTGCTATATGCAAAAGGAGAGAGAAATTACATGTTAGTATGGTTAACACTAGCTTCAGTTTGAGTCATTCATCATTAAAACAAACAGGGCTATTGAAGCAATGACTGACACCATAGCCATTCGTGTTCTCTCTTACTGTCTGGGAAAAAGTTGAAGTCTTGTTATGACCTACATCATTAAGACCTTCAGTATTGGATCAGTGAGATAGCTCATCAGGCAGTAGAGTTTGTCATGCAAGCTCACGGATCTGAACTCAATCCCTGGATCCCATCGAGGAAGGAGAGAACCAACTGTTAAAAATTGGCCTTTAAACATGGTCTTTGCCACACATATACCTATACTCACATACATAGGTGTACATACATATCACACACACACACATACAATAATGGACAAACAAATAGGTAGATAGATACATAGATAAAATATGACCTTCAGTGTGACTTTGACACTATTCCTGGCTGGGTTCTTCCACTTACCCTACCCCTTGCCCATGATAAAAAAAAGGAAATGGATTTTTCTGACATCTTTTTTTTTTTTTTTTGCCCACAATCAGGAGAGGCAAATACACTTTTACATAGGACAGCAGTGAGCAAGTAAATATTTTAGGGAAGCACATTTTAGAAATGGATGACACATAGCTTAGCACTTAAGAGTGTGGATTCAAGAATCAAAGAATCTGCCTTCATTTTTTAACTTCTGGGTGACTCTAGACAAGTCATCTAATGTTCTTGTCTTTGTTTTCCTGGCTATGAAAGGGGGAGAATTACAATATCCATCTCGTGGGAATGTAATGAAGACTGATTGAAATGGTATTATTGTCTTGAATAGATGTGAGAGTAGCTGAGGGTGGCTCTGGAAACTTATGTCTTATATTCAAGAAGTGGCTGGGGAATATACTTGGTACCTATGTTGTATTTTGTAGAGAATTTGAAGACTCAGGGCAGGGTGCTTTGTTGGTAAAAATTAACTAATAATATGATGTTTTGTTTAGGTTATCACACCACAGCGAAGAGTATCCCTGGTTGCACCCAGTCGGAGAGACATGGAAGAATGGATTAACATCATAAGAACTGTGCAACAGGGAGAAGTCAATAAGGTAAGGCAAGAGGTAACAAATACACACAACTTTCAGGAGAAAATGCTTAAGTGATTACATTAGGGAAGTTGGTTTTCAAACAAAGAATTAGTAAAAGGGAAGCAGAGACTATCCAGATGGGAAGTACATATAGATGTTATTTGGAAATCTGTTTAGAACTACTCACACAAATAGAAGAAATTCACTTAGGTGCAGACTCTGGTAACCATGTAGCTTTGTACACATCTGGTAGATATGTCATGGTATCTCAGTAAATGAAATCTGTGAGCTGTGTTTATGCAGCTAACTTAGGTGCCCATAATTGTTAAGAAAGTTGCAATTAGCAGTTTAAATTCCTGCCTTCAGAATAACAATAATAACATTTAAGGAAACTGAGGCTGAGAAAGAGGAAGGTATCAGAATAAGGAGAAATAAGCACTACTCCACAGCTTATCGGAGTTCATTTGCTCCTTCACTGTCTCTAAAGTAATCAGTGCTACTCTTCAGACTGTGATCTGGCCTCAGCTAGTTCTTTGGTAAAGCTACCACAATTATAATCAATACAAAGTACAAGATGGAATGGATTGTGTCATTTATTTACTTAGAAAATATTCTATATGGTAGTGAGGCTAGATAAAGTTTTTGTAAGAATATGTAAATCTAAGGGAAATTTTGAAGTCAGAGTTTTGACTGGGATTCATACAAAGTCAATCCTAGACCAAAATTCTTGGAAAGTCTCGGCAATAATGAACAAAATGAATATAGTCTTTAAATATCTTGGTGTAACATAGCATGATAAAAATGTGTAATTCAGAAAAAAATTAGAACACAAAAGATTCTTAATGTCTTAAATAACTAATAAAGATAGAGGATTGTTTGGGGCATTTAGGCTGGAACAGTATGCTTAGTAATAATGAGGCTTAGAAATGGAAAATAAAGTCTTTAAGAAGAACCATATTTCCTCATACTCCTAAGATTGGTCAGGATTTTGACCACTTGGTGTTACAGATATAAATTCAGCTTTTCATGACTATGATGAGGGTAACATGTCAACATAACTAAGCTGGAGCCTTCAATACACCATGAAGCCTTCTTACAGGCCTACAATGTAGAGTGTTTAATTGAGAGTCCTCCTCCTAGCCTGTGATGGCTTTCATGTGACTTAGCATTTAGTATTGAACTGATTTTCTTCTCCTTTTCATGATGGAGTAGTACATCCCCTCTGTGTCAATGAGGCCAGCATTAGAGGCATAGCATTAGAGGCAGCAACAAAGGGTTGTTAGTTTTTTTTTACTGCCGACTCTTTCTCACTCTTGAGGAACAATACATTTTCTTTGCTTACTGCAATTCAAACTGAAATGTTTCTGACTTAACAAACAAAATTTTCAAATTCAAAAAAGTTATGTAGGTTAGTTTGAATTTTATTTATTAGTTTAGGAATGCAAAAATCCTCTCAAAACCCCAGAGAATAGATGTGTCATTATTTACTCCATCGAATTAAACACTTGGTTATTGACAACCCAGCACACACTAGAAAAGAAAAATTTGCCTGTTCTTCTCTTGGAAGAATTGTATAAGGACCTAACCCAAACCTCGGTGGAGTTGCTGCAGCGACCTAAATACATTAAGGAACACTTTCAGCTCCTAGAACACTCTCACTAATAGGACCTTAGCATTTAATCTTGCTTGAAGCCTAAACAGGCAAATACTTCCCTTTTGCATGTAACTTATCTCTAACAGTCTTTTCTATCTTCTGTCACCAACAATGCATGACATTTGTAGTGACAAAAGATTAATCATGGCTTTGGTGACCTATAAAAGTAGTGACAAATTGGATAATATATTGGAAATATATATATATATATATATATATATATATATATATATATATATATATAGTTCTGATGCCAAATGTGGTGGAAAAAAGGTAGAATTCTAGTTCCTGGTCCCACTGAATATTTATTTAGTTAGGGAGACAAGATAGTCACAAACAGATACTAGTACTGAAGAGATACAAAAGCAGTATAGGAGTGCAGAAAGGGAAAGGATAAGTATCTAGAGTGTTCTGGAAAGACTTAGTAAAGAAGAAACTTGAGCCTGACCCTGAAAGATAAATGGGACTTAATTAGTAGCAAGGGTTTAGGCCAGCAGAGAGTCCTGAACACAGAAATTGATATATGATAAAGCTAAGTACCAGGAAAAAAGAATCTCCTTGAAATGCAATGAAACATGGCTGGGAAATGTCACAATAAGCAAAGCCACTCTGATGAACTAGGTATAATGGCAGATGTTTTTTGGTGTCAGGAGGTGTGAAGACTTACAATATGATGACATTTCAATTGAAAGACTGAAAAGAGAATTGTATGCTTTAGAAATGCAGAATAGAGCAGCTGACCAGATTGCTAAATGGTTAAGGCTAATGAGTGTGAGAACCTGCATTTGGATCTCAGCACCCACATAAAACGTCAGACATTACACTATATTCCTGTAAACTTAGCACTGGGGCCAGAGAGATGCAGAGGCAACTGGACCCTAGGAATTAATTGGCCAATCAGTGTAGCTAAGATGGCAATGTTTAGGTTGTGTGAGAGATGTTGTCACACAAAGTAAGTTAGGGAGCAATACATGTAGATACCTGATGGCTTTCTCCACACTTGCATGCAGGTGCACTGACACATATGTATATCACCTATGTACAAATATATGCACCCCCCAAAAAAACCCAGAAAGTTTTAGACAAGAGGAAAACTAGTGGCTAGAACTTCAAGGGAGGAAGTTATGTATCACTTCAGGCAAGACAAAGTTAAGTCCCAGAAGGATGCTAGAAAGGGGAACAAATAGTAGATGATAATTAGTAGATAGTGGAGTAAGAAGAGAAGCTAAATACAAGAAAAAGACAAAGTGGTACTGGGGTTGGAAGTCAATGGTAGAATATATAAACTACCATGTGTGAGGTCTTTGGTTTCATCTCCAGCATTGAAGGAGTGTGTTAGGAAGGAGTTTTTGACAGGAAATACGGTTCTATCAATGTTCCTAAAGGCCCAATCTTAGAGTATTTCTCTTTTTTTCCTTTATAGATTCATTTCTCATATAATATATGCTAACCTCTCTGGGTCTACAGGTTGTGGGTTGGTTCTCGTTTACTTAATGCCTAATATCAGCATATAAGTGAATACATATTGTATTTATCTTTCAGAGTCTGAATTGCCTTGCTTAGGATGATTTTTTTCTAGTTCCATCCATTTACCTGCAAACTTCGTGACATCACTTTAAAATTTTTATTTATTTATTATTAACAGCTAAGTAATATTCCATTGTGTAAATGTACCACATTTTCTTTATCCATTCTTCAGTTGAGGGACATCTACATTGTCCCAGTATTCTCCTGTGAATATGAATATAGCTGAACTAATGTCCTTATGGTGTGGTGAAGTGTCCTTTGGGCATATGCTAAATTGTGGTATAGTTGAATATTAAAGTAGATCAGTTCTCTACTTTCTGAGTAAACACCATAGTGATTTCCATAGTGACTGTACGTTTGTACTCTGCCCAGCAATGGATGAGTGTTCCCTTTATTTCACATCCTTGCTAGCATGTGCTATCACTTTTATTATTGACCTTAGTCATTCTGACAGGTGTAAGAAGGAATCTCAAAGTTGTTTTGATTTACATTTCTCTGATGGCTAAGGATATTGAACATTGCTTTTAAGTGATTCTCGACCATTTAATTACCTCTATTAAGAATTCTGTCTATATTTTTACCCTGTTTTTATTGGATTTTTTTTCTGATATCTAGTTTTAGATTTTTATATATTTTTGGAAATTTTTCCTCTATTGGATGTGATGATGGTAACCAATCTTTTCCCATCCTGTACACTGCCACTTTGTCCACATGGCATTGACCTTTACCATGTAGAAGCTTTTTAGTTTCATGCATTTCCATTTATTAATTGTTCATCTTGATTTAACTTTGGTAAGTGGTATCTATTGAGAAAATTATCTATTTCTTTTAGATTTTCCAATTTGGTGGAGTATAGTTTTTAAAGTATGTCCTTAAAATTCTTTGGATTTCTTCAGTGTCTGTTATTATACCCTCCTTTCATTTCTGAATTTATTAATTTGGATATTGTCTCTCTGCCTTTGGCTAGTTTGGATAAAGTTTTGCCTATCTCGTTGATTTTTCTCAAAGAACCAACTCTGTGTTTCATTGATTCTTTGTACTGTTTTCTTTGTTTCTACTTTATTTACTTTATACCTCAGTTTGATTATTTCTTGCCATCTAGTACTTTCTTGTGATTTCTTGTTTTTGTTGTAGAGTTTTCAGGCAGGCTCTTAAGTTACTAGTGTGAGAGCTCTTGATTTTTTTTCCTTTATTTTTATGTAGGCACTTAGTGCTATGAATATGACTCTTAGAACTGTTTTCATTGTGTCCCATAAGTTGGGGTATGTTGTGTGTTCATTTTCATTCAATTCTAGAAAGTATTTAATTTCTTATTTCTGTCTTGACCCATTTCTCATTCAGTAGTTAGTTGTTCAGTTTCTATGAGTTTGTAAGTACTCTGTTGTTGCTATTGTTGTTGATATCCAACTTTAATCTGTGGTAGTCTGATAAGATGCAGAGTGTTATTTAAGTTTTCCTGTATCTGATGAGACTCACTTTGTGTCTGAGTATTTGGTCAGTTTTGGAGAAAATTTCATGAGGTACACAGTTTAGTGTTTGCGTGAAATGTTTTGTAAATATCTGTTAGGTCCATTTGGTTTATAATGTCAGTTAGCTTCAGCATTTCTGTTTAGTTTTTGTTTGGATAAACTGCCTGTTCCGAAGGGGGTATTGAAGTCTCCCACTAGCAGTGTGTGAGGGTAAATATGTGATTTGAACTGTAGTAGTGTTTCACCTACAAACTTGGGTGTCCTTGTGTTTTGGGCATAGATATTTAGAATTGCAGTGTCCTCTTGGGGGATTTTTCCTTTGACTATATAATGTCCTTCCCTATCTTTACTGATTAGCTTTTGTTGAAAGT